TTGCTCCTCGGTAGCCCGTTTCAACCCGGAACCCCTGCTGCTTTTGCCAGTCCCCAGTTCCAGAACATGTCCGCATTTCAGCATGGTCAACAGCATAATGGTCAGCAGCATAACAACATCGCAAGCCCCGTTCAGCAGAGCCTGTCTCCTCAAGCTTACCAGTCGATGGTGTCCCCTTCCACATACGGCGCTCCTCAGTTCTTTCAGCCGCAGTCTCCTAGTGGTTCTTTCAACATGAACGGCCAAATGCAATCTCAGTCGCCAACCCTAAGTCCCGGCATCGTTACGGGTACTAGCAGGACTGTATATCTCGGCAATATCCCCCCAGATACTTCCGCCGAGGAGATTCTTGGTCATGTGAGGAGCGGGCAGATCGAATCCGTTCGGCTACTTCCCGACAAGAACTGCGCGTTCATTTCTTTCCTCGACGCCAATGCTGCGACCCATTTCCACTCGGATGCCATCTTGAAGAAGCTCTGCATCAAGGGACAGGATATCAAGATTGGTTGGGGTAAGCCGTCTCAGGTACCCACCTCTGTTGCGTTGGCCGTCCAGCAATCTGGCGCTTCTCGAAACGTTTACCTTGGAAACCTGCCGGAGGATATTCCCGAAGAAGAGCTACGCGAGGACCTCGGCAAGTTTGGGGCTATCGACACAATCAAGATCGTCCGGGAGAAGAACATTGCCTTCATCCACTTCTTGTCTATTGCCAATGCTATGAAGGCCGTGCAACAACTGCCCCAAGAACCCAAGTGGCAGTCGCCTCGCCGCGTTTACTACGGCAAGGACCGATGTGCCTATGTTTCGAAGACGCAGCAGCAGAATGCGGCTCAGTACCTTGGTATCGCACCTGGATATGCTCACATGTTGACCGGCCAAGACCGCGAAGTTATTTCTAGTGCTCTTGCCCAGCAGTCGGTGGCAGCCGCAGCCGTTGCGACTACGGCTGGTGGTATAAACAACCTTGGCAACCGAACAATCTATCTGGGCAATATTCATCCGGAGACTACGATTGAGGAGATTTGCAACGTCGTGCGAGGTGGATTACTTCACCATATTCGGTACATTCCTGATAAGCACATCTGCTTCGTTACTTTCATTGATCCGACTGCGGCTGCTTCTTTCTATGCTCTAAGCAATCTTCAGGGTTTGATGATTCACAACCGTCGTCTGAAGATTGGTTGGGGAAAGCACTCTGGCGCTCTTCCACCAGCCATTGCGTTGGCCGTCAGCGGCGGCGCCTCTCGCAATGTCTACATTGGCAACTTGGACGAGACTTGGACCGAAGAAAGATTGAGACAGGATTTCTCTGAATATGGTGAGATTGAGTTGGTCAACGCCCTACGCGAGAAGAGCTGTGCTTTTGTCAACTTTACGAACATTGCGAATGCTATCAAGGCTATCGAGGCCGTTCGAAGCAAAGAAGAATACAGGAAGTTTAAGGTGAACTTTGGAAAAGATCGTTGCGGAAACCAGCCCCGACAGCTTCAACAACAAGCCCAGTCGCCCCGCGGAGAAGGTGTGGCCTCGCCTCTCCCAGTTGGTAGCGGAAGCAACAACTCTCCGACCAACCCGACTTCGCCTCAGTCTGCCAACAACGTCAGCATGTTTGCTAATGGCAACAATCCGCTCACCCTGTACTTAAACCAAGTGTCGCAGCAGGCTCAACAGCACCAGCAGCAACAGCACCAGATGCTGGCTTCCCAGCAGGCGGCGTTGTTCGGAACTGCTGCATCCTCGCCCAACGAGCTATCATTGGATATTCCCCAGTCCGGTTCCGGCTCTGGTCATGGACAGTCCGCGAGCATCTCGAACGGATATGCGAACAATGCGTCGGGCGCGCCGACAATCGGTGGCCTTCTTGCGCCTGTTAATGCTCGAGCACAGCACAACCGTGCTGTGAGCCTGCCTGTTTTTGCCCCTGGGTTCGAGAACGGAGGGAACAGTCCTATTAGCGCAATCGGCGGCCACAGCGAGGGAGAGCGCCGAGGGCACCAATATCAAGCAAGCTTCGGCGGCATGGGCTCTGGCCTTGGCCTTGCCATCCAGGGTGGCCTGAATGGCTGGGTCGAAGAGGAGGTTGCCAACTGATTCGACGCGCCGTTCCAAAGGCGACTACCAGGGAAAGATAATATGTTGTAATCGCTGCGTTGATTTTCTTCGGCGTTCTTTATTCAGCTTTCAATGGCTACTGTTGGCATTTCCTGTATGATCTTTGTAAAACCCCTTGAACTTTCCCGGTCATTCGACCCCACGAGAAGAGAAAGGTTGTTAATCAACTTTGCGCCTCCCGAAAGAATATGATGATGTCCAATGCCTTAATTTGGGTAGTTGGACGTGTGATGGGAGGAGAAAGGAGAAAGCTTCGTCTCTGAAAACGAGATCTGAGGCAGGTTCGATAGGAATTTTGAGTGATGGGAGTGGCATGAGGATAGATGGAAATAGAAAGGGATGTGGCCGACAGCGGTCCTGATTGTCGAGAGGTTATTGGTAGTATTTCAGTATCTCTTGGTATAGTTCTGCTGTCATTGCATAACATCTCAGTCTTAAAATATGATAGGAGGGTATTAATATGACAATTGAAAAGCTCTCCTGGTTCTGTTTTGTGATCTGTCGTGTGAATCTTGATGTTGTATTTGTTGCCTTGTTGCTTTGTTGCTTTGTTGCCTTGTTGCCTTGTTGCCTTTCAGGAACACTTTAACATATTCCGTTGCAAAGTGACATTGCAACTTGTCAATTTAGGTATATAGCTTGAGACTCTAAGCTTTCAATCTCTATTAATATAAATGATGTTATATTCTTTCCAGCCTAATGCTTAACCATAGCGCCTTGATTCTTGATGTTGATATTTCGAAGTACCTATCATGCAATAGCTTATGTACGTGTGCGCAAGCTGAGCTGAGCTGCAGCCACAAGACGCCCGTGTCCTTCTTTCTTTTTGATTCATCTCTTCTCTTTCGACTAATTCAAACAGTACACTGCCAACTTACTTTATTTGCAAGTATCTCATTTTGACTCATGCTCATGCCTCATTAATAACCGGCCGGCTCAGGCTTTTCCGGGAACGCAGGACCCCGGATGTTATTCCTACACTGCTGCTTCCAATTGCGTGGGACGAATTTGTCGACGATGGCTTTGAATGCCGTCTATTCGGTCATTAGCTCAGAGGCATCTTTCACTCATGTTTGGTGCCAATAGGCAAATGTAGGAAACTCACCAGCGTGCAGAAGCTCTCGTCGCCCTCGAGATGGTTGCCCGGGGTTCTACAGCCCGGCACCGTGACAACCTCGTCATTATATCGTATCCGCACGTAGTACTCCTCCAGCTTCGCCCTCTCCTCAGCCGATAGCTCTTCACTCCGCTTGCGACCGATACCCGGCGGTGGGCTGCCGGGCTTCGCGCGGGTCGACGAGAATAGCGAGCCGAACCAGCCGGGCTTGCTAGCCTGGGCGGGACCGGTTTCTGCCGGGGGTACCGTCGCCGCGCCGTGCTGATACGGGTTTGCTGGTTTGGAACGGGTGGTGTCTGCTTTCCGGAACATCTCGATGGCGATGTGACTGGTGTAAGGGGGCCACTTGTCGCTCTCGTACGCTCCCAAGCTAGCTAATACACCGGCGAGTGTGGTATCGTGGCACCCGCTCAGCCCGAACCGGATGGGCGTGGCGCCCTTACCTTCTGTTACGGGGCCGCTCTCTAGCTTCCGTGCTACCTCGTACTCTCCGTCGGCAGTCGAGCGCTCGGCGCTCCCCACCATGCGGCTTACGACGTCGCCTAATAAACCTCCAATTCCTAGTGCCCGATACTCTTGACTCTCCTTGTACCCCGCGAACCACTCCTCGACACCAATTTTCTCGATGATCTCGCGCCCCTTTGGGTCGTAGAATTCCTTAGGCAACCGCGTCTCCGGTCCATGTGCTAGCGTCGAGTTGATCGTGTCCATGATACCACTTAGACGTGGCCGTCCGTCCACAGCCACACGCGGCGAGTCCTCCGGCATCCATTTTCCGTACAACTTGCTCAGGTACGCCATTTCCTCCGTGTCGTTCCAGCGCTCGGCGGTGCGTTGGGCAAAAGCCCGCGATAGCGCTGCGAAACGCCTACAGTTGCTGTCGTTAGGGAATAGGGTCTCGTCGCCCGGGGCGCGCGTTAGGATAGCTGGGGGCGGGAACTTAGGGGCCCGCGTATGCGACGGATATAAACCCGTGAACGTCTCCTGAACAGAGTCCAACGCTCTCGGGATCGGCGTTGCGCGCAGGTACAGGCTATCGGCACTGAGCAAGACTGGAGGTAGGAAGCGCAACTGGTCGACGTAGAGAGTACGCAGACGAGTACCAAGGTCGAAGGTAGTCTCGCGGCCGCGGTCAGTCAACATACCCATCTCGCACACACCGTCGAATTCGCCGGCGGGGCCCTGGGCGAGTACGGGTTCGTCATTGGGGCCGAATGCCTCGAGGCGGCGCTTCCACTCGAAAGTGGAGAATTGGCCGGTATGGCGGTCTAGCACGGCGGACTTGAGCTGGTGGACGGCGCTGCAGTAGGGCCAGAAAGCGGGCAGGCCGGTATTCTGAAAACGGACGGACACGGGAGAACGCTCGCCATGACGGAGGAGGATCTGGACTAGCTGCAGCTGTAGATTCTCCGGGTATAGCGTCTTGAGCTCATCTTCTGTGTACGGAGGTCTGGGGATTAGGGATGTCATTATAATAGAAGACCGAAGTGATAGGAAGACCAATATTTGGAAAGTTGGACTAAGAGAGAGAGCTATGGAACGAGCCGAGGCTTTACTCGGCTGGGAGACAAGTCCAACCTGAATTGAAGCAAAAGCCGGAATTGTGTAATGACGGAAATGAGAAATGAATAAGAGTTGACTTTAGTGTACCTAGGTAGTTATGTATTTTAGAAGTAGTGACTTTTTAAGCTTCTTTCAACATGATGCCTTTGTTGCTTGCTCTTACCCTTGCGAGCTGCAACTTGCCTTGATAAGCTTGGCAGCTACATATTACCTGAACTTGGTAAGGTTAAGGCTATCAACGGTACCTAGCGGATTAACAGGTACCTACCTGCCCGAGCTCTAAGTCGGCATTGAAACCCTATCAACCTCCGATCCAATCCCGAGCAGCAATTGTTCGATCCATTATTTTCTTCACTACTTGTCGCTAACAACTCCGGGCTGTCTATAAATATTCTGCCACCTCGCGATACTTGTCTCGCCCTTCATATGTCATGAGGGGCTCCAGATCTACCTGCTTGCTGTGTCGCCACTTAGCAGCAAGTTCGGGCGGCGCAGACTTAAGAGTAGCGAAATGGCAAATCCACGCATCGCGATTTTCGACCACGGCCACCCCGCGAAGCGATGACTCGACGATCGCGTCGACGACTCCAACCTCCAATGCGCCTCCCCCTTCAGAGGTGGCAGCCGACACTTCAGGACTGGACAAAGTTCGGAGGGTAGTGCAAAATGACCACAAGAGCACTTCCGACATAAAATGGCCTCAGAATAGATCCAGAAAGGTCCCAGGGGCAGCTGGCGACTCAGCTCGGGTGGACGCCTTGTTCCAACAGATCGTCCACAAGCAAACTACAGACAAAGATGCACCAGTTGGAACGCAACAAACAAATCCCAATATGGACTTGGCTCTCGTCGAAGCCATTGGAAAGCTAAAGCTTATGGTCGAAAGGGACGAACCCGAGGCAGACGCATATGCCTACCTCAAATCGGAGATATACCCGTTACTTCAAGAACCAGACGTAACCGTACCCAGGGTTTTCTCTATGGTAGTGTTGAGGCTGATGGAAAAAGTCGTTGCTGCTAAGAAGGAGTCGATACGTTCACCTGAGCTACCAACAGTTGCCGACATTTTTCGGGTTTACACGGATATTGGCGAAATGAAGCCTCAGCGATGGGCCGTACTCGCGGGAGAATTAATCCAGAAAATCATAGAGATAGATCCCTCCGCCGAGGAGCAAGACCCTGCCATAGTCGAAGGTGGACTTGCCACCCGCGATGCCATGCTCGCGGATCTTGTCGAATCCTGGAAAGTTCTCTCCCTACCTCAAACCACACCCGTGGCGCCTGATGATGAGTTGATGGATGGGTTCTGGTTCCCGAAACTCGATAAATTCTCCCTGCAGAAGTTTTCACGTGAAGGAAACTTCCCCGCGGCTTTCAGTAGTATTTTCCCACAATATCCCCCACACAATGTCGGTGCTCCTGTGGCCCTCTTAGCCATTGCCACATATGCTTTGTTGCTCGATGACCAACGAAGCAATCTCGATGTCAGACAAAGTGCTGCTCGTTTTGTCTCTCAAGTAGCCTATCTCATCTCATTTGTGAATTATCGAGATGATGCCTTGCGGAAAGAAATCTCAAACACCTTCCCGGCGATTAAAGAGTATGTTATGGCGCGGTGGCTCGACATCAAGGCACAGCTAAAAGACAGAATTGAGTCGATGGCGACGTCTGCCACATACGCAGAATCCAATAAATCCTTATATTCGGCCAATCACGATAAAATCAACCCGATCTCCATGGGAACTCATCTCAACCATGCATATCTAACCCGGAACACTAGCGAGGTAGACAGGACCTGGCAAAGGTTTGTAGGGTCCGAGAAAGATATTCCTTTGGAAAAGGCTGCTGAGCTTCGAATGTACCCCGATCTTTTCGACTTCTTCATTTATACTCGCATGGCCTTGAACCAGCCTGATCATGCCATCGCCGCGCTAAATACTCTGCGCAAAGTCGGGCTTAGACCGACGATGAAGACGTGGAACAGCATGCTCGACGGTTGTAAGAAGTCTCGCAACGTCAACGGCATCAAGAATGTGTGGGCAAAACTTGCGGGGTCCGGAATGAAGCTGGATGCGAAGCTATGGACCACTCGTATAGCCGGCCTCATTGAATCTGGTGATGTCGAGAGCGGAATAAGAGCCCTAGAGGAGATGACGAAATTGTGGAATAGTAGCTCGAAAGAAGAGAACACCACGGCTGTCAAACCGACTATAGAGCCTGTCAATGCTGCCCTCAACGGTCTAGTACGTCAGCACCAAGTCGCCGCTGCCGAAAGTCTCCTAGCTTGGGCGGCTCGGCAAGGTATCAAACCTGATATCTTCACATACAATATCCTATTAGGCCGCTTCGTTCGGGATGGAAGGATTGAGGACGTGCGGCGAATATTTACTATGATGCAGGGTGCCGGCGTATCTGCGAACGAAGCGACATTTACGATAGTGCTGGACGAGGCGTTTACTACGATAGATCCGGATGACATAGAAGAACAAACGAGAACGGTGATAGGTATGCTCGGCCACATGAAAGCGGTCGGGATGGAACCGAACCTGCAGACATACGGCAAGATAATTTATCGCCTCCTCCAGTTCGGCGACCGGGCCAGTAATGGCATCAAGACCGTGCTAGCTCATCTATGGGGCCACGGCTACGAGCTCTCGCCACAAATCTTCACGATGCTGATGGAACATTACTTCTCGCGCAACCCCCCCGACCTAGACTCCGTCGACTCGCTATTGCAGCGCCGCCGCGTACTTAACTACGATCACGTGGAAGACAATATCTTATACGACCGCATCATTAAGGGCTACGCACTAGCCGGCCGGCCCTCCAAGGCCCTTGAGTATTATTACAAGCTTAGCGCTGCCGGCGCCACTATCATCCTATCTACACAGATAGAGCTACTATATTCGCTGCTCCGCGACGGCCGCGTCGACGACGCGCGCGACATGGTCGCTAATACAAAGAGGCTGTTTGAGGAGTCGCACAGCGCCTCGGACGAGGTAGAGAGCGCCCGGTTCTGGGGCCATCGCTTCTGGCAGCTGGCTTTCTCGAATGGCCTCATCGAGGAGAGAGATGCTGCTGCTGCCCGTGTTTCTTCCCAGATTGGTGAGACTTAGCTTAGCAGCCTGTAAATATTGCATGTAAATGGCGTAAGCATAGATCTCGGGGCATGACATGTAGACTTGGTTGAAGACTTGGTTGAAAACTTGGTTGAAAACTTTGTGGCACGTGTTATAAATGAATAAAGTGACGAGTTCAAAATAATTCCGATTAGACTGCGTGACTTAGGTACCTAAGATCTCAGAACTCCGGACTCCTTTCCTTGGGCACTTATTTGAGCGTAAACAGCAGCGGTAGTAGCAGTCGTTGGCGTGTATACAAAAACGCAACATGCGCAGTTCCTTCATCATTCATGACTCGTCCATCCGATCGTCCCTCGACGAAGACGCCGATCTCCGCGCCGTACTAGAGGAATCCCCTTCCTGTTCCCTTTCCTCTTGTTCCTCTCCCCCTAACAGCGTAATCACCCCCTCCAAACCCCCAACCTCATCCCTAGCTAACCCACGGCCCGCACCCTGCCACTCCCCATCACGCACCTCCCCGTGTCGCCCCAGCTCCAGCCCCTCAACCGTCTCCAAGTACCGTCTCGTAGCGCCCTCGACGTACTCGAGACGCTCGCGCCGCCAGCTCTTGCGCTCTTTCTCTTTATCCCCGTCGTCGTCGTCGTCGGCATCGATATCCATAGCCTCGGCGGCGGAAGCAGAAGGCGCTAGGTCTGGGGTAATCGTGCGCAACGAAGTAGATAACGCACGCAGAGCTTGCATCTGCGAGAGCGTGAATGCGGTCGTCGTGCTGAGGGGGGCTTCGGACCCGCCGGCCGTGAGGGAGCCTTTGCGGTGCAGGAATGCGAAGGGGCTGTTTTTAATCCGCGCTGGTGCGGACATTGGTGGTTGCGGGGATGTCTTTTCGCTTTTTACGTGCGAAGGGGATATCCCGACGAGATCCTGTAGTTCGCTCAGGAGCTTCTCGTTGCGCGCGCGCTCGGCGGTGAGGAGGGCGTTCAGACGCATGCTCTCGCGCAGTTTGCGGCGGAGGCGGTTTATGCTGTCGAGGGTAGGCGACGGATTCAGATTCGTATTCGAAGAAGAAGTAGAGAAATCCAGGCCGTCGTAGTGCGAGAGGCGAATCCAGGAGCGCACGTCGGGGGGGCGGACGGTTAAGATGTTGCGCAGGACGTAGATCTCGAATTTGTCGAAGTTGCGGTCGATGCTGGCGCATAGCAGGGTTTCTAGCTGATGCGTGCCGGACTCGATTTCCGTCTTGGCGGCTTCGGCCGGGTCTTGTTGTTGTTTTTGCGCATCGTGGGCGTGGCTACGGGACGGCTTGGGGGGTTTGAAGCCGATGGTTGCGGGGGAGGCGTTTAGAAGGCCTTGCTCGACGCTGTTGAGGGCGCGCTCGGCTAGGACGTTCACGCTGTTGATTATGTCGTCGATGAGACTCTGGAGTTGGGGGTTGTTCAAGTTAATATCTTCTATCACCAAGTATGTAGATACCTAGTAAACTAGCTATCTATACATGCGCCGAGGTGAAATACTGACAATAGGGGGGTATCCGAAGTGCTCTGTCAAAAGCTCTGCGTCGGAATTGGTAGACGTCGTCATGATCGGCGCATTTTAGGTATCATTGTCTTAATTTTTTGTCGCTGTCGCTAAAGATTGAAGTTGGCTAATTGATGACACGCGACGCGCCTAAAATCTTAAAGTGTCGATGAAAGTCAATATTTGGTTTGGTAGTGGGGTGGAAACGCAGGGGGTCCCTAGGTTAAATTCGGATGAGGCGCTCAGCTTGTGTGGCTCAGCATATGGGGCATACGTCATACCTATTCTGGACCCTCTAGCGGCTAGTAGCTTCGTACAATGTACAACTACCTCATTCTTTGCACGATTACGAATTGTGTAGGTAATTAAAGATATCGAGGTTATAATAAATACCTGCTACAATTATCTACCGGCAGACTTACAAAACACATATGTAACAAGAATAAGCCAAGATGTCGGGTTGGAAGGATAAAGGTATGGGTATTGTCAAGAAGGGTTGGCATCCCGAGAAAGAAGGGACTTCACTCAGGGGTCAAGTCGTAAGACCTCATCTGTCTCCTTGATTATACTCCCTAACACGTACTAACACATCCATTAGAAAGGCCTTATCGGGCGAGGAGATAAACCGTCTTCCCATTCTTCTTCCGAGCGTAGCGCCACCCCGATATCCTCGTTGCGTGATCCATCCTCCTTCGGTCCCCCCCCTAAGCGTACCGGAGTTAGCGGGAATGAGATCGAATCCAGGTCTCAAAGTCCCGTGTCCTCCGTACATTCCGGGCACACATATGGCGTCCAACAACAGCACCACCAGCAGGTAGAAGAGCCCTCGGTAGAACCAAGACCGTACAGAGTCGACACTACAGGATTATCGACATCAAACCTTCCTCCTCCGCCCGTAAGAAGAGGCAGCCCTGATAAACGAGACCCGATCCTACCTCCCTCTTCACACGTTAAACCGGGCGGACCACCCTCGCTACCCCCTCGGCTCCCACCGCGTAGCGGAAACGCGTCTCCGGTCCAAGCACAAAGCCCAGTCGCGACGGGACACAACCAATCCTCAAATTATCTGAACCAAGGAGCTACCAATCGATTAGGAGCTGCTGGGATTTCAGTCCCGGGTTTAGGAATTGGAGGAAAGGCGGGAAGTTCTGCTCCCCCACTGCCTCCTGCTCGATCGCCAACTACAACTTCGTCTGCAGGAGGATTATCAACGAAGCCATCTAATGGACAATTAAGCGAACTACAAAGCCGCTTCTCTCGCCTCGGCACTAGCAATGCTCAACAAGAGCCTACGACCGCACCAGCGCAGGGCACAACGTGGGCAGAGAAGCAGGCAGCATTAAAGACAGCAGCAAGTTTCAGGAAAGACCCCTCATCCGTATCATTTGCAGACGCGAAAGCCGCTGCCGGAACAGCGTATAACTTCCAACAGAGGCACGGGGATCAAGTTGCATCAGGGTTGAAAACGGCAAATGGGCTGCACCAACGATTTGGAGGTGTGGAAGCTAATGGGCAAGGAACAACGACATCACCCATGGGGCAGATTTCAGGGGTCATAGGAAAGAAGAAGCCTCCCCCCCCACCACCAGCTAAGAAACCTCAACTATCCGGGGCCGGCAGCGAAAGTGTTCCACCCCCTGTACCGACGGCTTCGAGACCGAAATTTTAACTAAGACGGAAGTAAGCAACCACGTGTCCACGTCTACTAAGGATGTTTGCACCATCGACTATCGTTCGGAGTACGGGAAGACGAAGATTGAATCAGATATCAAGGTCACTAAAAGGTATGGCTCCAAGAGCCGTGCAGACACGAGTAATGCGTTGACAATTCGTCAGTAAATTAGGCTTCGGCTGCGCAATGCACCGGCTAGCATTCGTAAAAGAACGAATCTACGTAATATGCCTAAATCGGGGGTTTTATAGACATAGAAAAGAAGCGTCAGGTCGTCCGGGTTGATTCGTGTATGGTATTCGTAAATAAGTTCAGCCACAATCATTAGGTAGGCTCTTAAACCTTCATCTCATCCAGACCGTGCTTCCAGACGGTGACATAGGGGGTAACACCGTCATCACGGTAGTTGAGAAGGACAACCCTATGATCCGAGTATCAGTACGCAGTCGGTTTGCATTGCTTGGGAAAAGGCCAAAGCTATGGGGCACGGGAAGAACTCACATTCCGTCAACATCCATGCTCTCACCAGTGTAGAACTCGTAGTCCTTGAAGTTGCTGACAATCTTCTTTGCGAAGGCCTGGGCCTTGGTCTGGAAACTCTTGACCTCCTCGTCGGAAGCACCCTTGTCCTTGATGTGCTTGGCAAGCTTCTTCATGTAACCTATACATAATATTTAGTCGATATCCAGGTCCTAGTAAGAAAAAGCTTATCTTACCCTTCAGGTACGAGAGATACGAGGCCTTGTCGAAGCTGGTAGGCTGGAGACGGAAGGAGTGGATAATGTTGTTGACTTTCTGGGCAGAGTCGTCAACACCCTCTTCAGCGTCCTCGGCAGAGGCGTTGGCGCCAGTGTCTGCGAATTCGTTAGTGGTTAGCCCACTCGCGAGCCAGCGCGGCCCAGAAATTTTGTAAAGCTAACGTACCGACATTGACGGCGCCAATCTCAATCATGGCACAGTCAGCCTCGTAGGCGATTCCATCGACCTCCTTCAGCTTGAAGGAATCGGAGAGGAGCTCGTCCTTGCTGTCAGTGAGGGCGTCCTATATAGACAGGGTTGTTAGTATATGTTCGCGGAGCGCTTCAACAAAACGTGCAATAAAATTTAACGTACCCTGAAAATAATCATCTTGGCGGTAGGAGTAGAAGAATCTAATGAAGGATAGGCGAGGAGAAAAAGATGTGATCGTCGAAGGATGAACGATGGAAGAAAGGAGGAAAAAGACGGCTTTTGCGACAAGTAATGAGGGGCAGATTTTCCTGGCGGAGACCCTCAAAAATTTGGGCAGGACGAAAGTGGGAGTTTCGATGGAGGGGCGAACGCGCTAAACCTAGTTTAGCGTGTCGATTAGGTACGGTAGATCTAGAATTTTTTGCTCCGTATTTTTTTAGCTGTTGAATCTTAGGTACCCAAGTACACTGGGTAAACATTACATAATGCACCCACTATATACGTACAGCCTTACGTTATTCATTTATCCAATATATTCCCAATGAGAGATTTATTTCCACATCACATCTCGGTGTGTCGGACGAGTCGGACGGACCCGCAGGACCAACTCCTCGAATACATAATCGTCGAGATCGGATTTCCGAGGTCTTCGTATTACCCGAAAGATTACATGTACATGTACAGAGGCGAAACCCGAATGTTTATTGCCCAAATAAGGAACGCCCTCATAATTGATCTGAAGCCAATCCACTTTGCCATTACCACTAATGCTCAACATGCAGAATGCACAATGCGTGAGCTACACTGTTTGCGCAGGTAGCTTAATTTTATAATAGACAAGCTTCGAATACAATTCATACCCTCGAGCTCGTCTTATCCCGTACAGGTCGTTAAGGCCCCAATCAGATGCTTTATGCATCATTCCCGACTTACATGCGACAGGTACAAGGTAACAAGGTAGGTACATAGGTAACGGCAGTCGGAAAAACAGGTGATCTCGGACCTGCGCGGTTAGGCAGCCGAGATTGATAAAATTGATAAAAAGGGGGACCCGCTGTACATCTCATGCACTCAGTGCTGACAATGGAATGATGACGGACCACTGAAAGAGCTAATTTACATACATTTGCGCCTCCAACGCGCCAAAAGCCAAAAGCCAAAAGCCAAAAGCCAAAACTTTATCTTATTCATAATCCTCAGAGTTGGGACTCCCTAAATTAATTCAACTCCCTACAGCTTTTCAAGTAACCTCCTCCTAACTACTTACACTCTTTACTTCTTCGCGACGATCCTTTTTTAAACACTCCCGCCGCACGTACTGGCATCAGTACAACTTTATCCCTCTCACTTTTCTGCTAAGTCCCTCAGTTATACTCAATTATACGATTTTCCGCGCCTGGCCTCCCCGTCATGGCTTCTAATATAACGTCCAACACGGACCTCCCACCGCTTCCGTCTTACGAACTCGTCGTAGCGTCAGACTTGATATCGTGGCTGCCCGACTTCTACCTGTCCCTCCTCGCGCCTACCATCGCGTACTGGGTCGTCTCCATCTTCTTCCACATAATTGACACCCTAGACCTTTTCCCGCAATACCGCCTGCACACTCCCGCCGAGATCGCGCAGCGGAATAAGGCCTCGCGATTCGAGGTCCTTCGCGACGTTCTCTTCCAACAGGTTATTCAAGGCGTCATGGCCTTTTGCCTGAACCAGACCGATCCGCCGCAACACACGGGTATGGAGGATTACGATGTCGCTGTCTGGGCGACGAGAGTTCGTCTAGCGCAGAGAGCTCTCCCAACCGTACTCGGCGTCCTAGGAATCAATGCTGCTACAATCTCTAAGAATATGGCTGTATCTCACCCGTTCCTTGCTGGCGCCCTTGCTGGCGGTCACTACCCTTTCCTCACCTCCGAGCTTTCCGGATCAGACGGAGCTCTGGTACCCGCTTTCGCCACTTGGGAGCTCCTAGTCGCCAAGGCTATCTACTGGGCTATCATTCCGGGGTTCCAGCTCTTCGTCGCTGTCACCGCCTTAGATACTTGGCAATACTTCCTTCACCGATTGATGCACCAAAATAAGTGGCTCTATAGTTCGTATCCCCTTTTCCTTTTTGGTAGGCAATTTAGGCAATAATTGACTAATAGCCTTCTAGCTACGTTCCACTCGAGGCACCACCGACTCTACGTTCCTTACGCCTACGGAGCTTTGTACAACCACCCGCTCGAGGGATTCCTTCTCGACACGGTCGGCGCGGGCCTTGCGTATAAGCTTGCGCTTATGACCCCCAGGCAAGGAATATTTTTCTGGGTCATGTCTTCGATCAAGACCGTCGACGACCACTGCGGATATGCCTTACCCTGGGACCCGCTTCAGCACATCACGTCGAACAACGCCGCTTACCATGATATTCACCACCAGAGCTGGGGCATCAAGACAAACTTTGCCCAACCATTCTTTACTTTCTGGGATAGGTTTTTGGGTACTATGTGGCACGGCGACACGACGTTGAAATACGAACGATCGAGGACCAAGGCCCAAGAGTTCGTAGAGGCGGAAGCTAAAAAGGCATCTGCAAAGGCACAGTAAATGCCTTGTCACGCGCGCCGCTTTGGTGCACACATTCGTTGTATTATCCTAGGGACGTTCGTTACTTTTTATCTTCCGAGGCGTGACAAGGTATTCTGGATCGAACCGGTTGAAGTGGCATGAGATGTGTATACACTCGGGGAGCATGGGAAGGGCGTTTGCTCGAGTCGTTAGCGCTACGACTCGATAGTTGTTGTTTTTTATGGGGTGTCGGGTCGCGTTTCGATGCCGTACCGTTTGCAACATTCAAATTATGTACGTCTTTGAATGTTACACCAGGCTATACGCGTTGACAGGCACGATTAATGCGGGAAATGAAGAGCCAATTTAGGTGGTGCGGATGTGAGCAAAGGCGTTGGCGTTGGATGATGCTGGCAAATCAGGATGCGTAGCACTGCGACTGTAGACAGCCGCTGCTACAGCTTTCCATACTTAATCTTAATACCACTCACACTCGATCGCTACAATTATCTCGAGTTCCACGATCTATTTCAATTATTAGTTTCAGTACGCAGGGAACGTGATCCTTCGTGAGCTTCCTCCATGACTTGGACGTTATTTAAGGCTGAGTAATTCTCTTCTCATTTTCTTCTCATCTCTTTAAATTAAAGACGAGTCAGATTCCTATTCTCATATCGGGCATTGTACTACACCGGGCCTTGTGTCTTGCCAACATATGCATAGCATTTTCTCGGGGTAGGAAGGCGTTTAATTGAATTACGATGCATTTATTTATACTACAGCAAACACAGCCACTTATAGCTAGGACAACAAAGGAATATAAATCGCATCGTTGCCCTAGCTAAAGCTTGTCGTTCTTTTATTAGGCATTCTCTCTCAAGCTCATTCAGTTCAGAATTGTAGAATTGCCGAAATCATGGCGAAAAGCTGCTTGCCCGCGTTCCCGCTCGTCGTGTTCGGCGTGGTCGAACCTATTCTTCTGTAAGTGTTCAGCCTGCTTGTATAAGCTTACATATATGATATCCATATCATGTAAATAAGTCAATAAGAGAAAGGAGGTTTATTAACAGCACCTAGTATATGGGCCTACATCGTAGCCCTCCGCGACCCTACCGCCTTCTTCGCCGCGCAGGCTCCCAACCACCCCTTCCCCGTCTCCGAGCCTATCCCCCCTCAAGCGCTAGTCCTGCTTCTGCAGCTCATCAACGTATATCTGTTACTAGCGGGCCTAGCCGTAGTCTGTTCCTGGACGTCGCACGCTTCCGTCGCACGCTGGTATTTAGCCGTCGTCGCGTTCGCGGATTACGGCCATATCTGGGCGTGCTACCGGGGCGTCGGCCCGGAATTGTTCTGGAACACCGCCGAGTGGAATGATATGCTGTGGGGTGGGGTGGGCGGAAGTGCAGCGTTGAATGTGGTCCGTTGGCTTACGGTGCTCGGGGTGTTCGGGGCGCTCGGGGGGCCGCGGGGGCCGGGGAGTGCGAAGAAGATTGCTTGAGGGGTGAACTTTGTGTGCCTTGGATGGATGTTGACCGTTGTCGTGTGTATGTCGTTCGGGTATTGGAGTGTTTGTCGTGTGTTGTCGGCTGTCTCATTAGGTCACGGTATGTTGGAGAGTTCAGATCATGAGGATTGGGAGAGGTATCTTGTATTAAGGGGCGTGCTAGGTAGACTTCGCATTGAAGGAGGCAAAAGGTGATTAAAATTCATAATTTGTTGTTGCTTGATTCCAGCGTCTCTTACGTTGGCTCCGTACGTAGCTCCGGTACTTTCGACGCCTCTTTAAATCTCCTACAGTTTACACGGCTTAAGAGCTTCGGTGCGGAGAGAGTATCCTAATTAGATGGCACGACGACAATATTAGCAGCATTAAGCGTTTTAATCTGATCATTCTTTAACTAAATGGACCAAGTGCCATGTCTTCGAGAGATATCCGGCCAGCTTTACCTACAAGGTCCCGAGTGCTTGTGACGCTTTGATATATACTCGGATATAATATCGACGTTACTCATGATTAATTATGCTTTCCTAAATATTTATTCATCGTTTCCTGGTACGCCACCCCTTAGCCACGAGGAGTGTGGTCGATATTTATGTCCTTGCGCTTTATATACGTCAGTTCGGTGCTATTAATTAGCTACGGGTAGCGAGTCCCTTTTCATCGGACTCGTGACTTTCGTCTCCACGACACCGTTCCCATAGGCAGCCGAGTACTTCTTCGGCGTTACGAGCGTGTGCCCGTAGCTATTCTATATCAGCTTATATGCGCTCCCGTTTAAGCTGTTCGCTGACCCGGTTTGCGTTTGATGCGATTGTAGAACTTAAATATAGCATTAACTAACCTTGGCATAATACTTAACTTGGGTTAAAAGACTATTGGATGGTGTTGTAGTTCTTGCCGATGCTTCGGTTCGCCGAGAGGAACACGCTATGCTAATATTAATAGTTTGCACGGCGAGACCAGGATATATGATTTGGATACCTATATGACCATTAGCTCGATCTTGTAAACGAATACGTGTCTCTGATTCTCACTATTGATTCGAAAGGGTTTATACAGAACAAGGTGCCTGGACGGAGCTATCAAGGTACGGTAATGACCTTTTCAATCACAGCAGTCTCTTATAAATGGCGATGACAGGCTGAGAAGTCCTTACCAAACTCCTAGAGAATGGAAATATCTTAGACGGGAGAGACGGATGAGACGAGTGAGATACAGGGCAGATCAGCGCAGGGCAGCATCCAGACAGAACACGGACACGGGTTAACCAGTACACTCTGGGGCGAAAGCTCGAGCGTAGTAGCTGGATGAAGTGATGTAAAATATGTCTGAAGTGGTATGCGAGCTTACCAAAGCCGCTGTTAGTTTGTACGAAAGGAATTGCAGAATGTCAGCAACGCTACGACGTACAAGGCATTGGGAATTTGATGGGTTCATGTTTGATTCAAAGCTAATTGGAAAGACATCAAGCTACTTACAAAGGATCAAGGTAATATCTAGGCTGGGAATAGCTACCTGGCGTACTCGACACTTAAGTAAACCTATATAAGAAATCTTGCGCCTCCATCCCATCACGCAATCCACGATGCTGTATGTACACAAAGCAGGCAATCCCCGACGTCGCCTTGCTCAACCGGTAACTCCTCATCTGTACGTCACTCATGAATATACCCTTGTTCGCTTGGGGGTATTTACGCGCTGTGTAGGCGCGCCTCTGTAGACGATTTCACTCTTCTCTATTCCCTCTTCCCAGCTGGTAAATAGCCGCCACTAAGCGATCGTTGTGCGCAGTCTGAAGAGCATCGTCGGAATCATATTCTGGCATCCAAGGACGTCGCTTTTAGCCAGGCGTTGGAAACCCGCATGGTCGATGGCCTTGCGGTAGGCAACCTACAGCTCATCGAGAATGTAGCCTTTGGATCTCCCCTTGACTGCAGAGTTGCATGGGAAGAGAACCGTCGGAGACTACGTTTCGGAATAGGTGTCCCAGACATAGAATAGCTATCGTGTTTCGATCTCGATCCCGCTTGACCTGCTCGCATCGATGGCGAGGATCGTCATTGGAACCACACTCGTCCTCGGATTGTCTATACGAGTCGCTATCGCGAGGACAGCGTCGCCGAGTCCACCAGCTCTCCTTTTGCTTATCGGCTTCGCGGGCGGTAGGCTTATTTTCCGGCGTGGATGACACCGCGGGCAAATGAAATAGACAGAATATAAGGCGTGGAAGTAATTGTAATGTCGTGCTCTGGCTGGACGAATGAGCAAGGAACTTGGGGCTTAAATGCGGTCGACGTTTCTTGTAGGGCGTGAGTCGCGCATCTCGGTCTGCATTTCCTTCTCTTCGGTCGGGTATTGGATTCGGTTTGGAGCTGGTAAAGTAGTTTGCGACTATTACTCGGCGCGTTATCGGAATGGAATGCATTGGAGAAGTCTAGGAAGAGCCGGCGTCGCGCGTTCGGTTTATGTCATCTACTGTCGTCAGTATATGTTCTAAGTCTAGAGGAATTAGTAGAGAAGGGTGCATTACCTGTTATGCAGATAGATTTGCGCATCTCCGAGCAAAGATAACTTTCCGCCTTATTGCGGGTTGAAAAGATCATTGTTCGGTTGTCGAAGTTGTGCGTCTTGTCTTCGTGAGGACTAGGTGACATGGGAAGCCTGATGAGACTATTAGGTATGTAGTGATCAAGTTTGGCGATCCTGTGAAATCAAAGCAGTTAGAAAATCAGACCAATGCAAATCAGATCAATGCGAAATCAGCAAGTTGGGATGTTGTCGGCAGCGTACTTTAAGAATATTGATGTAAGTATATACCAAGCAACGCGCACGCCGCCTGGCTGTCTATGTGACGGGGGAACAGTTTAGCCTCTTGCCGGAAGGGACAGTTTTACTCATGACGGAGTTGAATGTGGCGGTATTTGTTGCGGCATTTGCAGAGCAGGTTGCGGCGGAGTCAGGATTTACACCTCGCGCTACGAATGCCAGCGCGCATCTCGGACATCGTGAGAGGATATAAGAGTTTGCAAGATTGTGATCTAGATATTGCCATCCGGCTGGTAAAAGGATTAGTAAAAAATAACTAATAAAGAAACAAGTCAAAACTAACCTAATCAATAGCGAAGAAAACTCTCACTCCCAAAAACCTAAAGAGCAGTTCGTACAAGATAGAAGATAAGTTGATAAATAATGTCGCAAGAAAGGTACGCAAAAGAGGAGTCACGATAATTTTTGGTGTTGTGAATCAAAAGTTATGTGAGGAAAGGGGAAGTTGAGACGGAAGTACCTACCGCACCATACAAATTTACTAGTAAACACTTGTACTGTGGCTAAATCGCATGCCGCCTCCCCTTGCACTACGGTGGCATATTAGTGCGCAACCGACAAAACAAAAAAGCGGATGAAAATTCGTCCGACTTGGCACTCGCACTATAATTACAGCACCTACA